ACTGTAGTGGATGGTAACAATCATTCATTTACGTTTTCTTTTGCCAATATACTTGAATTCTGCTTAAATGTGCAATACATGTGGATGAAAACACAGCTACTGTATTGTCATTGTGAGCATGTTGGCATCTAGTTCGTACAGCCTCACAGAGCTGCTAGCATGGCTGTAGACTTTCAGTCTTGTTAGCCTTTATTTACCCATTGTTGGTTCACTGGACTTAAGAATCTTTTCCAGGAACACACTGCTCCTCATTCAGACATTTTCAGCTGCCAAGTACAGCCACACTCTGATCTTTTGGCAACTGAGCAGGTCCACTGGAGCACTTTTCACTTCACAGAATTTCACTGCACAGACATTTTGTTCAAATCTAGAGATTAAACAGGAGCTTGATATGTTTTCCCTTCTATTTATTCAATGCATTTTATCTAATGAGACTTTTGTTCTAGTACTTGAGCAGGATTTCATCAGTGCATAAGAGCTGTAAAGTTAAAAATGTCCAGTGTGTTTGATGTCCTTTCATTTTGTGTTCCACAAACACAGTTAATACATTGGCTGTTGTCTTATCATCTTATAGTCCCTTAGTATAAATTGTTGTTGTTTTTTTACGTCAGTCAAGGCACAACTGCACTTAAAGGAAGAGAATATTACACCTGTTTAATCATTTCTATATGTCATTGAAAACTATTTTGAAACTGCTGACTTAGAATTAGCTAGAATGATTTGACACTTTCAGAAGTAAAGGTCACTGCAACAAACACTCCATGACACTCCGAGACGTTACAGATGTCTGCTTACCTCTATTCTTAACCCAAATGACCACATATTTTAGAGACTGATGTGGTTGAATGTTAACCTGTCAGTTGTTAGCCATTACATTCAAGTATGAGAGGAAATCATGCATTGTGTGTGTGATTGAAGTGAGCAACCACTGTGTCTCCACTATGTGTTGTTTCTTAATACTGATCCTGTGAAAGTTGGCTTACATACAATACACAGACAAGCAACTTTGGTCAAAACATCTCATAACAGCAGCACAATTTGCATTGTTGTTTCTGTGAGTCTGCATTTAAAAATGATGACTGAACTGCTAGAATACATTTCTTTAAATAGAGTTCTGCAGGGATGACGTATTATTGTAGACCAACCCGGAAGTTAGCATCTCCCTGGTTCCTTTGACTAAAGCCAATGCGTTTTTCCATTGGATTTTGGATTGTTGCAGAAAATTAGCTCTGTGGTGAACATAGGTTTATGATACTGTATATTTTGTTCAGCCAGTAATCTTCAATAATATTCAGCACTTTTATGATTTTTGAAGCCTAAATGCAATTGCTAGAAGTAAAAAAACTAATGTTAGGCTATAAACGAACTACACTACAGTCGCAATTAAAAGTTGTAAAGTTAAGGCAGTCTAATGAGGCAATAATGTGACCAATGTGTGTTTAAGACAAAACGTGAAAATCTCTTAAG